ATAGGTCAAAAGCTATCATTTCATTTAGCAAATTGAGTTACCAAGAGATAGAATAATGAGATCCACCCGTTTTGTTGTGACTAGCATGGTGGGTAATGGAGACTCTGTTTAGGATGGCAACGAACTAGATGATGGATGGGCATCCGGTCTGCTATGTGGCAGGAAAATTGAAAAGAGAGAAAACATGGGGGCAGATTGGGCGTTGTGGGAACAGAGGACAAAGGAAGGGTGAAGATTGTTGCTCTGAATTTGCTGCAGTAAACACAGAAGAATATTCAGGATTATTTATTTCATTTATTTATTTATTTTAGTGGGTGCGAGGACTACAGGATTAGAGAAAGTGACGAGGGTTTGGATGCAACAAAGAAAAGACAGATAAAGACAGAGAAGAGAAGTACTCACACCTTCAAGTGATAGAATTTGGCCCCACACCAGTATGCAACTCCCATGCATTCAATTGGTCTCACACAATATCCAGCTCACATGCATTTAACCATTGGGTTTTCTTATATTCAAATCAATCTCTTCATAATATTACAAGGTTAATTCAATCTTCAAATCTAATTAACTACTATTACATTATGCATAAACTCCCATGCACGCAGATGAGCTACTTTTTTAGGAGAAATGTTTAGAATTCAATGGTAGCTTTTTCTTTACAATGTAATTTTATATAGTTTAAATTAGATATTGTTTATAACTATAAACATTTGACCCTACCCTCCTCACCCAATAAAATCTTCTAGCTCCACACTGAAAGGTGAACCATATTCCCTCTTCAAATGGAGATTCCAAATTCAAATTTTCTTTTTGTAAGCAAAAGGAGGATTGTGAGTTAAACAGATGGAATATACAGAGTTGTTAGAAATTTCCACTATCCAAGCTTGTAATGCATTTCAGTTCATGATAAGAGATACTTCCCTTCTTGCACCAATGTGGTTCATTCTCACAAAATAAACAAATTTGAAGAAAAAGTCACTTATGATAAGCTATCTCAAATTATAAATAAGTACTAGACCCATCTGGGGAGATCACTTATATTCAACTAGGATCACAAGTTAAGAACTAGTCTAGTCTATATTAAAAGAAAACTCCAAATCCCCTTTTTTATAGAAATAGACAGGATGCACTGTATCATGGTCATTTAGTATTTTTGAATCATTAATTATTCCACATCCGGTTCTTGAATCTTAACTCTCCATTCAATCTCGGCCTTGCTTTCCTCGCTTACAATGGAGAGGGTGTTTACCACTTCATAGAATAACCTATCATGCTGTTAAACACAAAGGTTGATTTTTCTGAATTTTGCTAAGGAGTAGTTGAAGATTAGCGCTAGGGCTGAGCTCCTAAGTTCATTGGGTATTTGAGCAGCGTCATATTAAAAGAGTTAAGTATTTGAAGGAGTTGAGAAAAAACTTCATACAGAAGGTGATGATGAAGCGACTCTCTATTGTGCAGGATTTGGCTGCTGCAATAACAGTAATTGGCGATGGGAGGGATAGAAAGGAGCCGATGAGTGGGATGATGCTGACGGCGATTGTCTTTCACCATTGACCAGCACACACAAAAATCTAAATCTTGTTGATAGAGTGGGTTCTATTTGGGTTTGAGTTTTTGTTTGGATGATGGTTGTTTGGGCAGTGGTTGTTTGGCGGTGGGGGTGCAGGACGTTTAGGGAATTGTGGTTTTGTTTGGGTCTTTGTTTGTCAAGTGATTATTTGCAGTGGAGGGGAATAGAGGTGTTGGGGCAGGGGGAGGACAAAGTTTAGGGTTGAGAGCAAGGTTTTAAATGTCAGATATCGGGTTCATGTCGGATGGCTGAAATTCATGTCGAATAGCGGAAATCGGGGATATATCGGGGGACATTGACTAAATATCGGATTACCATATCGGATAGTGCGCATATGTATAATATCATGTCCTAAATATAATCTAAGCATTTATAAATTCAATATAAGCATACTTTATAAATTCTATAGACTAAACATATAAAATAAAAAAGTAAATAATATATGGATTTGGGTTCATAAATTCTTTCTATCGGGTTCATAAGAAACCCTTAAACATGAGAACGGGTCAAACGGGTTTGGGTATTTATCACTAAACCCAAACCCGATAACAAAAAACAGATCTAAAAAAACCATATCGGCCGATTTTTTAAAGCTTAAAAATAGGCCGATATGTCCGATATGACCCTGATATTTTCGATTTAGCCCTGAAAACCGATATACGAGTTAAAAACATCCATGTCGTGTCGGTCAAACCCTCAAACCGATATGTCGGACATGTCGGGCGACATTTAAAACCTTGGTTCTTCCTCTAACTGCTAGGAGCGCATCCTTTGACAAATATTTGAGCTCACGAAACCTAAAATCTTTCTTCTACCACTGACAAAATTAGTTGCACTGATACAGTCGTCCAATCACACTATGTCCAATCACAACAGTACACATTTATGCTTTCTTTAACCTTATAATCACTTTTGTGATTTTTATTTTCTATAAATGGCTAATCAATTATGATTGTTTTCATTTACTTGGAAGAATACATGTTTCTTTTCTTTCCCTTTCATGAATAGCGATATGTCTAATCTTTTACTAAAAGCAAAATTAGTAGAAACATTGTATAAGAATTGTACTTCAATGGCTGATTATTTTTCTATTTTTCTTTCTTATTTCATTTTTTAGTATCAAGTATTAACGACTAAGTGCCATATTTAAGATGGTCTAGATAGATTTGTAGCTTCATATTAATAAATGGACTTAATATCAACAAGACTAATTTAATTAACGTTTGTCTCAAGTTGAAATAGATGGCAGTGATTGGTGTTCTATCTCTTGTTCGTCACAGTTTTTTATCATTATGTCATGTTTATGGTCCGCTTGTTCAATTTTACCATGCTTTATATCTTTTCAAGTGATCTAGATTCAGTGACATAAATATCTGCACGTTGCACATTTTATCCAATGTCACATGAGAAGGGAAACATGGAAGCCTAAATAGATATATGTTTCGAGTTTATAACTTTGGTGACGCATAAAGGTATGCTATGATACATCAGCACATTGGGAAAATCAAACATAGCTTCTCTCAGTTTATGAGACACATAAAGGTCTCCTTAAAAAATTGTTGATGAACTTTGAAACACTTGACACATGGAAGCGTAAGTACCTGGATGCAAACAAAGAGGAAAATGTTCAACAAAAGCTACGTTTTTTCCACATTGAACAGAAAACTGACACTTGAAACAATCATTTTTCAAGCATTTGGTTGATTAGTTTGCGAGAAATACTCAAGATATCGAATTTAGAAGCTCAAGAAACAAAATTGTTTGCAAAACCCTAAACTGCGAGGGTATTGAGAACGAAGAAGTAAAATTGAAGAACTGCAAAAAAAATTTGAGATTAGGGCTCTCACCTTCAAGCGGAGCTCGTTGATTTTCGTCGCGAAAGGGTTTCGACTGAACTTCTGCCGATGCAGAGAGAGAGCAAAGGGTGGGGGGGGGGGGGGGAGGGCGGCGAAGACGGTTTTAGGGCTAGAAGGGGTACACAGGACAAAACGTTATACCAGCCCAGCCAACTAAATTTAGGCCTTGGGCTTTACGCAGGCCCAGCAACCAGGCCCCCAATCACGTAAATAAAAAGAAAGAAAAGAAAAGTCCTATTAAGGGCCATTTTATGGAAAATCATAGAAGGAAAACATATCTATTCATTTATACAAATAGGAGGATCAGAGAATTATTGTTCATCCAACAGTAAATTGAACAGTAGAGTATAATTGTAGCATGAATAGGCAATACTCTCTCCTCTCACCCGTCACTCCGCTACAATAATCCTCAATACCCCTCCAGTCTCTCTATCCCAACACTCAACACTCTTCTCTCTGTCCCCAATTCAAAATTTAAAAACCCCCCTCTTTTCTATGTAAAAAACCCTCTAGAAACCCCCATCCCACTATCTCTATATTCCAACCACAAAAACCCTCTCTTTCTTGAATCCATCTCTCTCCCCCCCCCCTCGAAATCCCCAATTTCTCGCTCTCTCGCCTCCCCAATCGAGCCGAGGATGAGGAGATGAAGCGAGGAGGAGCTCGAGGGCTCAGCGCCCGAGCAACGGAGGCGGAGGAAATGGCCACCTCAGCCCTCTTCTCTCCTTGCTCATCCGTCCACATTCGCTACGGCAAACACGTCGCCCCAGCTGCTCACTCTCTCGCTTCCCCAATCGAGCCGATGATGAGGAGATGAAGCGAGGAGGAGCTCGAGGGCTCAACGCCTGAGCAATGGAGGCAGGGGAAATGGTGAGCTCAGGCCCTCTTCTCTCCTTGCCCGAGCAACGAAGGTCGACAAAAGAAGGAAAAAGGTCGAAACTTTGAACCTCTTCTTATCTTTTGAATGCTTTGATTCCTGTCTGACTGCTTCAGGTGATTATAATATTCACAAGGGTTATGATTCATAAGGTGAGATCTTTTTGAGTTCTTTGATATACTTTGATGGGTACATGGGGAGCATCCGCTCTCTAAGATTTTCGTACACAGAGCTACAATGGCCCTTCATGATGCAGCTTATATCAAGGCTTCTCCTAACCTTCTCGGTTTGAAGGTATTCTTCAAAGATTGCTGCTTTTCTTCTCTTTTTGCCTTTAAACATTACATGTAGATGTTATTAATTGAAGAAGTTGGGAATAAAACAATAAAGCTGTTGATGAGGAAATTGCAATTGCCAATTTAGTGAGGTGATAATTTTTCTAGCACGCGTTGTAGGTTTTCCGTTGGTTTTGAAGTTGAGTGAATTTTCTACTTGATGACCTGACAAGTTCAATGCATTGTGTGATATGAGATGTGTATTCCTAAATCCGTTTAATGATTCTTTTTTCCCTCTTTGTGTTCCTAACTTTTATTTGGTTTTTTATAGGGTCAGACCACTGAATGGGTAAACTTGGAATATGGTCACTCAAATCCTTCAGATGAAGATTGGATTGGAGTTTTTTCTCCTGCAAAATTCAGGTTTCTGTTATTTTAAAATTTTTGGTTTATTTTGGAAAGCAACAGAGGACCAACAACTTACCGTATGACTTTTGAGAGATCCAATTGTGAATAAATAAATGCTTTATTTCATCACTGTTGTTTCTGTATGGTGGTAAAATTTTAACTTGATTTTTTTTCATTTAAGGGGGGGAAAATGTGCCTAAACATTTTACAAAATTGTTTCTATTGCTTATTAAGCTATTAACAATGTTATTATGATGATGATTAAAAGGCTTATTAAGCTACTTCTAAAAAAACATTAATATAGCTTGAAACATTAAGTTGTAGTCTGTGATTCAATAGACAAAAATGTCACTTCTTCTGTTTTTTATCTTTGCTTTTCTTAGTAGAAGTATCTGCAGAAAAAATAATGTTGTTGTGAATTAGACAGTGCTTGAATTCGACCGTGACTAACGTAGCTTTAATGGGTTTTGTTTGTTTATTAATTAGGGAGTGGAGAAGTTGATTACATTGAAGATCATAATGGGTGATATCAGAGCATCCACTCGGTTTGATTACAATTACGGAATGGTAATTTTATTTCTATGTTGGGTTTTAATTTTAAATGGATCTTTACATGTATTAATGCTCTCAAAAATGACCTCTATTGTGCTATTTTAATATCTTTTTGTTTAGATTTTTAAGTCTGAGAAATTTAGATGTTGACAATGTCTATTGGGTTACATTGGGATTATTATCACTTTCATCTCTATTCTAATCGAAAAGTTTAAAATGAGGCAAACTTTAGGGTGTTAGAGATAAAATCAGACTAAACTTTTCGGTATTTAAATGCAAAGAACTCATTTTAATTCATCTAATGTTGTATGATTGTTATGTTGTAATATCCACTGATTTGCATTTATATTTGTAAGTGGAAAAAACACAAATAAATGAAGAAAAATGAAAGAAAAAATTACAACAACACAGACTACTAGGATAAATGAATAAATGTTTTAAAAAAACTATGAATAATTTTTACATAATAGCTGTCTATATAGTAGCCTTGATAATACCGAACTTGGATTTTATATGTGATTTATACATGTCCAGTTTATACTTTTCTTCAAAAGATTACAAGTAAATATGTAAAAAATTTATAGATTACAAGTAATTGCAGGTTTAAAATGCAAGATGAATGAATAAATGTAATTTTTTTATGGATTATAATTGTATGATAATACCGAACTTGGATTACAAGTAAATGCAGATGTACTATACTTGGTCATAGTCAAAAGATATCTGGTGCATAAATGCAGATCTACAAATATGTAAAAAAAATTATGTAATTTTTTTTTATGGATTACAAATATATGATGTATATTTGTAGTTTTTTTATCATACATTCTGATAGAACAATTTTATGTATATTGAAGTTCTACTACAATCATCAATACATGTATAATCTATTACTATATACTAAAGGAGAAGTCTGGTGCATTTTAATTTGCCACTTGACAGCTAATTACAGATTTCACCTTTCATAATCTCTAATTATAAATTGTTTTATTACTTTTAATCGGCTTTCTCTCTTTTTATTCCTAATAAAATCCTTGAATATTTAATTTCCTTAAAAATTAATATTTATTTTATTTACGTTCAAATTTCACAATTATTACATAACAATCTGTTAAGAATGCATAAATTCCAACTTCATTGTTAGTTCCAATGAAGTTTCTTTTTGTATTGGTTTGTTCACAGCTTCTTGCATCTCTAATTCCTTTGGGGTTATGTTCAATAATCTCTCTTTCATGCATAAGTTAGTAATGCTAAAGGAGCATTCGTAGCAATTGCAACCTCTCACATTCCAAACGGATTAAACAGTGTCTCTAAGTGTTCATATTGGAACATTCATATTCATAGCAATAATCCCTTTTTTCTTCATTTACAATATACATTTGCAATTTATTAATGGTATTTTATAAGGAAAAAATTTTTCAAGCCAAAATGCATTAATAATTCATCAAGGTATCTTATAGATTTTTCGAGTTGTTATTGAGTATACAATAGATGCTGTAGCAATAGAAAGTAAAGGATTCAACACAACGGTAACAATTCAGACATCAATTATAAAGTTCTAGCTACAAGTTCCACCAATTTCATACCTTATGAGTTGTTATTGGAGTTTTAAAAAGATCCTATAAGTATGATATTCATTTTTTTTCATGATATGTTGGTATTAAATGAATTTTTTGTTGTTACATATTTCTTTTTTATTGAATAATCGTCTACCATAAATGTGATTTCTTTTGAGTTTGTTGTCTTTACGAATGTGATATGTACCTTTAGACACAAGAGAATGTAGGATCCTACACACTCCAACTTGGTCTAATTATTATATGAAAAGTCTCTATGTGCAGTGTGCATAATACTAGAAATTGTTAAAAAGAATCCAAGAACTTAAATCCTCAAAAGCTATTATGAATTACTTTGTTTCTTTATATACGTACAAGAACTCTCTATTTATATGTTTTATTAACAGAATAAAGTTGCTTCCTTCACTGATATTATACTTCAAAGTAACACGCCACTTTATATGAAATCTTAAAGTCTACTAATCATGCATGTCAAACCCCATCAATTATTTCATAACATGTGAAGATGTCCCTAAATGCATACAGATGTTGGACATTCAACCGAATATCTTTGAATTTCTCGATAGTACATTAAACATATAGAATACTGTTTAGGGTAATATAGTGTAACATAAAGTAACCATTTTTAGTTCTCAATAAAAGATATCAAAATTTAGCTATATTAGAAACTCACTTTCTCTTATATTGATGATATCAAAGAAATCGATGTTATTTGATATATTGTATTGTTGAGATTATAGCTTGCTACTGCAAGCAATATGAAGACTTACTATCGACGAAGTATTATTTTTTCTCTTAAAATTTGAATTTTGTGATATGAGTTTGTTTAAATTTCTTAAGATTATTGCATGGTGATCTTTATTTCAGAAGATATAGGAGGCTATTTTTTTACAACTAGAAGTATCACATACAGTGTAAAGATGTATGGAGATCTTTGTTTATAAACCAAAAATTTTGTTCAGAAGAAAGAGAAAGATGTAAAAAGTGAGAGGGATGGAAGAAATTTGTTATCAATAGTTATATATTGCTTGATTACATTATATCTAACACCTGATCTTTTGAACTTTCTTTAGGCATATAAAGATATTCATGCTCTTCAAGGAAGAGTTGGAAATATGCCATGAAGATCTCGAGAAGTTAAATTACCAAGTACTTACAAAGGTAAGTAGATAAACTTATAATCCTTGCTCTTTTTTATTCTTTCTCTGATTTGAAACTCAAGTTGAAGATTTTGCTAGGAATTGTATTTTTCTTTATTATTTATTATTTATTCTTTTTAATATGGACCATTAGCATTTTCTTGATTTAAGAGAAAAATGTGAATGTGAATATGTGTTTTTTGCTTTATTTAAGTTTTGTGAGTTCGTGGAGCTATCATGAATTATACAATACATGTTGCAGCTCCGATGGATTATAAAATATATGTTACAGCTATAGAATGAAAAGGATTGAGTAGGCCTGTGAGAATTTGATCATCAATTATGAACTTATAGCTGCAAGTTCTAACATAATTGTCAAAAATTTATGCTAATATTCAATCCTATTCCTAAATAAATAGACACATTTATACTGAAATTAAGATGGGCAAGAATGGTGATCTCATTGTAACTATTTTAGGCTCCTTTATTTTAATTTTTATTATTTCTAATTTAGTGGTTTGTAAATTCTAACATTTTTGTGCTAAACGATACTAAAACTTCATCATAGTCGAATTACTTAGACATGCTCAAAAGGAATTTTGTAGTGCACAAAATGTGAGTACGCTGAAAGAAGAATTAAAATTGAATTTGACAATTCAATTTACAATAATAAAAAGGTACAATTATCATGAAGTTACCTTATATTTTCATGTATCACAATGTCTAATATATTGATTTTAACTATTAAATGATGACTGTGAATAATTGAGTTTCCGTTGGTCGTATGCCAAGATTTTGTAGTATAAATAGAGTTGTTGAAAGGAAAGTCAAAACGTATCGACATGGAAATATATATAGTCATAACTCCTCATCCCATCGGAGTGACTGATCCTTAAAGAACTAAGGTTTTTACTCATTAATGTGGAAAATTTCTCTTTCAAAAACTAAGATTGTTCCTCATTAGTAGTTTCAATGCATTTTAATTCAAGAAGGTGCTGCAAATCATGTCCATGATTGTTCTCCTTTGTTTCTATCTTCAACATTGATTTAATTTCTTAATAGTAATACTTTTTGATCAATTTCATCAGTTATGAAGTTTGAATATCACAAAAAATTTATGTGCAATTTGATTGACTATGTCAGTTGTTTTTTTCCAACTCTCTCATGACAATCTCAATTGTTTCAACTCTTTATCCTTTAATATGTAGTCGAGCTTCTCAGAAATCAAAGACCTCACAAAAGCAATCCTCAGAAGAAAACCATGTAATAGGAGGAAGAAATATTGCTAATTATTTGGAGGTTTCATTTCATTTGTTATTGTATTCTTTTTGTTTACTAAGTATTAAAATCCTTTATATTCCATTTTTTCTTTTAGGAACCTTGAGCATATAAACTGATATATATGCCATAATTTTATATTCTTTTGCCATAATTTATGTGCTAATTTAATTCTGATACAAATGTTATTCCTTTTTTTGTTGGTCAGGTTTCAGTTTTTAGGCTTCATGGTCTTCTCATCAATCTAGCCGCATCCTTCTCAAATCAGGTTTATGTTGTTTTCCAAGTAGAAGTTGAAATTATAATGAATCGAATATTTAGATACCCATGGTTTCTTATTACTCTTAGAATAATAATATCATAACAACTTTTATTTAACTATGTTTTTAATTAACAACTATGTCTTTTAATGTTGTTCCTTTTCTAATATAATTCCTACATATATAAAATTTAAAAATTTAGATTTTCTTCTTTTGGCTTTAGCCTGTTCCTTGCAATTTGGTTGCATTAATAACTAAGTATATTCAGATCTATCTCTTTTATATTTTTCGACTAATGTTAAATGATTGCTGATGCCATGTATTATTGTAGAAAATGCAATCTCATTGGCAGTGTTCTTTGGAGCCATGACTTCGAAACCTGATGATGCAGTCTTTTATCCTTAATGACTTCAACTAACTCATTAGTTGCCACATTGTATGTCATCTTTAGGACAGTTAGATGTTTGTGTTTCGAGTCATCAATCTCCTAAGAATCAAAGTGTTATACTTTCAAGTTCAAGAATCAGAAACTCAACCATTACTCTCGATTAACTAGGCAATAAGTCACAATAGACACGTGTGCCTATCAGCACAAGGGAATAATTTATAGCAACTTCATGTACGTGTCATATGAAAAATTTGTTTAAACATAAAGTTTAATATGCTTTATAATTTTAATTGTACAATAATAATATGTAATTAAAACTAAGAGGAGGGGTGTTGCAAGTGCAATGATAGAAAAGAGTCGAGGGCCGTGCTTGGCACGGGGTACATACTAGTATCCATTAATGCACTGATTTTTGTACTGTCTGCACTGATATATAATATGATCTTTGTGATGATAGTTTAACTGTTTGTACAAATTTTTACTGTGTATGTGTATATTGGGCTGTTTGGTTGGGTGACAATGAAGCTACGAATATAAATACTTCCATGGGATTTATATCTTTCATGTTTAGTTTGCTAAACTGTAATTAGAAAACGAAGGTGCATTTATAATTTTTACAAGAAGGTTGTCACAAATATTGCGACCAATTTGATGAGAGCAAAATCTGTTATTTCTTAAATCTAAAAAAGAACTCTTTAATTTAAATCTAAAAAAGGTCATGCAGCTTCTACACTACCTATTGTCAACCAAACACCGGATTTATAATTTGAATACATTTTCTACAATAAAATTATAATAATCCAAATAACAAAAAAATTGCAGGCAACATTTATTGATATAACATTTGTTGCAATTCGTTTTGCGGCAAACCAAGCATTATGTGTCGTGTTCTCATTCCTCTTTATATATGATTCTCAACGGGAGACTCTAGAAAAAAAATATTTCTCACCAATGTGAGAAAATTGAGGATTGAAATTTGAGGGGTTTCAGGTTAAAGACAAATAATATCTTTATTAAATCAAAATTATAGGGAAGAGCTAGAACAATTTTACAACATATTGTTGCGGTATCCTATGTGTGTGTGTTTTTTTGTTTTTTTTGTTTTTTTGTTTTTTTGTTTTTTTTGGGGGGGAGGGGGGGGTGCACACTGAAACAAAAAAAAAGCTGGAATTAATATTTCAAATTAGAATCCATTCAGAACTCTAAAAACATTTTAAAAGTAGATTGTAAAAGCTTTTTCAAAAAAAATTCATGTTTGTTAAGTGTTTAAACCAAACTCTTGATTTGTTAGATTACAAATTTGATCGATTTTCATTAGAACATGTTAGATTTTAAGTTTGTAATGTGACGCCCCTGGGTTCACTCAAGGCTGCAGTCCAAGGTGAAACCAAGAATGTCAAACCTGCTATGCACCACACCTAGGAAGTTTCAACACGGGCATAGGTACGTCGAGCGAAATAATCCAAACAAGGAAACCCTCATGTATATACCTTATATCCCAAATTGAAAATCCCTAAGTACCAAACCCGGAGTCTAATACGTGAACAGAAATAAATAAAAGGGAAGACAACCCATCTCAGAACATAAATAGAGTATCATGTAGTGTCCCACGTCATAAAATGTCATGTCGTATTCTACATAAGTGTCATACCCAGTCTAGGTAGCTATCATGTCTTAACGGTATCAAAATGTCGTGTTCCAAAACTCAAATGTGTACCATGCTCAAGGTTCGGCAAAAATGTCCAACACATGGACTAAAAGTGATGCAGGTCCAACACATGGACTGAATAGAATACATGTCCAACACATGGACCAAGATGGTAAGTATCCAACACATGGATCAAAATAATGTATTGTCCAACACGTAGACTATAAATGAAGGAAATGTAATTATCACTAGCATACATGGAAAAATACACAAAATCTAAACCCGCACGCATCCCGATGTACATGTCTAAACTTATGTCAAAAGTCAACCAACATGTACAGATAAATCATTAACATGATAAGCTAGGGTCAGGTTATCGAGGCGACCCCGAAAGACAACCCAAACAGATCAAGAATCTGTAAAACAACTCATCAGTCGACTGATGTGTCGACTGATGACGTCAGTCGACTCATATGTCGACTGATGAAGCTCAGGCAGTATAGCCTCAGCTCACCAGTCGACAGACCAGTCAACCGAGAAGCTGAGAAAACACAACCAGCCCGTCAGTCGACTGATCAGTCGACTGATGACTGGAAATTTT